TTGGTCAGATCAGCCCCAGGACAGCACTGGGATAACCACAGATCCCATTCCTGCTCCATTAGCAGCCCAGGCACAGAGTCCCACATGGAATCACAGAATCCCAGAATGGTTTGAGTTGAAGGGTCCTTACAGACCACTTCATTCCACCCCCTGCCATGGGCAGGGACACCTCCCACCAGCCCAGGTTGCTCCAAGCCCCATCCAACCTGGTCTTGGACACTTCCAGGGATCCAGGGGCAGCCACAGCTTCTCTGGGCAACCTGTGCCAGGGCCTCCCCACCCTCATGATTCAGCTTTACCATGAACAGAGCTTTTAAAACAAGGCAGATACTTGATGGGATGTTGTTTTTCCTGGAGGTACCGCAGAGAAGGGGGATGTATAAAGGAGCTCCATAAAGCCCCCACTTACACCTTCCCAAACCACAGCCCCCACAACAGATTTGTCCCTGCTAATTTCTTTCCTTGGTGCAATTTTGTTCCTTGGGTGGCAGGATGCAATTTGTGTTGGAGTTTGGCTTTCTAGTGAAACTCTTGGCTTGTCACTCTCAAGGCACAACACGCTCCCTAAATAGCAGGCTAAATTTCTCCACCTAGCCTTAAAAAATAAAAGAGTCCTCTGCCAAATGAAAGGACATATTCCAGTACTCTTTGTTGTTGCAACAAATTGGGTGGATACTGTCAGACTTCTGTATTCTGGGAATACTTCCAGAGCCTCTTTTTGTGTGCAAGTCGGTTACCATGTAATTGTCAACTTAAATTGCAGTGTTGGATAACTGAGCTGGGGCTGTGAGATAATCTGCCTGTCTGAGCCTCAGCCCCGCAGCACAAGGGCCAGGCTGGGCTCTGCTCCCCCTGCCCGTGAGGAGAGGGGGCTGCAGGACCCCGGGGGGATGTTTGGGGGGGGCCTGGGGGGCGTTTGTGGTGGTATCTTTGCTAAAGACATCCCTGCCCGTACCAGAGGATGGTCACAGTATCCCAGGAGGTTGGAAAAGCCCTCCCAGCCCATGGATCCCCCCTGTGCCCCTTCCCCACCCTGTCCCCCAGCCCAGAGCACTGAGTGCCACGGCCAGGCCTTCCTGGGACACCTCCAGGGCTGGGCACTCCACCACCTTCCATGGTCCTGCCCCTGTGGGTTGTGGTGAGGGCAGGGGCACGGGGTGTTCCCTCCCTGATATCTGCCAGGGCTTGGGGGGCATTTCTGGTGGCACCTTCGCTAAAGACACCCCTGAGGGAGGACGAGTCCTGCCCACACGGACTGCGGCAAGAGCAGGGGGACGGGGTGTTCCCTGACGACCCTGCCGGCTGCGGGAGGAGATGAGAGGCTGCTGCTTTCGCTGCGATGGGAATCGTCTTCGCCCTCTTCCTTCCCCTTTCAAATTGGCAGCTCGTTTTGTTGTGTTTGTTTTAGCCCGAATCCCAATGACAATTAGCGCTGGAAGGCTAGATTAAGCTGTTTTTGCTTGTTTTCTTTTTCACTTTGATTTCCACCTCCTCCAAATTCTTAATCCTACTGAATATTTCATCTCTTGTAAGCCCATCAATTGAAAGTCTCCCAGCGGGACGTACAGGACCAGCACTGTTACAGCTGCTTTGCTTCAGCTGCTGCTCTCAGCCCCGGGTTCCTCCTGCAACGTGTTTCAGACACAACCCCGCAGCATCTGCCCGGCGAGAGCCGCTCCAGCGATCTGGGAACCGGGCTGGGCACCCAGAGAGAGCTGTGGTGGTTGGTGAGAAAGCAGAGCTCCCCTCGTTCCCACCTCACACCTTCTCCCACCACAGGCAGCTCCTGCAGGTGGGAAACCTCCCGTGTGGCCACAGCTGGGACATCCCACCGTCAGTTTGGGAAGTGTTCTGTGTGAAGGGGTCGGTGTGGTGGTCACCGGGCTCCTGTCAGGGGGAGCCAGCCCAGCAGTGGGTTACGCCATGTGAGAGGGTTTGCTGGGCTGCAGAGAGGTGGTGCTGGATGATCCTAGAGAATAACAGAATATCCTGAGTTGGAAGGGACTCCCAAGGATCATCCAGCCCAACTCCTGGCCCTGCACAGGACGTCCCAGCAAGCCCACCCTGTCCCTCCAAACAGTTTTCCAAACGCTCCCTGAGCTCTGGCAGCCTTGGGGCCATGCCCACTGTCCTGGGGAGCCTGGTCAGTGCCCATCCACCCTCTGGGGGAAGAACCATGTCCTAATATCCCATATCCTAATATCCCTAGCCTCCCCTGACACAGCTCCACCCATTCCCTTGGGTCCTGCCCATCTGTTTTTGGTTCCCCATCAAAAATTGCAGTTTTGTCTTTTTTCCTGTGGCTGCTCTCTGGGATGCTCTGGGACTCAGTGTTGCCCTGCACTTACACTGTTGACAGAAAAAGCTTTCAGATAGGGAACTGTTTTTTTCTCCCTGTCAAAATGTCATTTTCCAGCTTGAACCTCTCCAGGCCAGCTCTGTGCAGGTCTGTCTGTTGGGATGGACACACTCCCACTTCTGCTGCTTCCTCCTGCCTGGAAAGGAAATCTGGGGAGAGGGTGCTGGCTCTCAGGATTCCAGGCTGTGCTGGGGGCTTTGTGCCCGTGTCTGTGGGGATTATATCACAGTGGGGTGGCTGCTGTCTGTAAGGATGCCTTTTAACACCCACATCCCCCCTTGCTCCACAGTATCCCTGTCCCTTTGCAGGGGTGTGTCTCCAGGAGGAATCCGGCTGCTCGCAGGGGCGGCTGCCTCTGACACGAAGCAGGACTGCAGCAGCTCTGCCAGCAGCTCCTTTGATGCCTGCAAAGCTTCAGTGCTCTTCACCTGGTCTACGTGCTCCTTCTCAAGAGCCCCGAACTGTCTGCAGCCTGGATGGGAAGAGCATTCCCTGCCAGGAGCCGGCTCCAGGAGCCTCTGCCAAGGGAGCTGCGGTGGCATATGTTCGCTCTCAGAGCAAGGTTACACTCTCGACTCATTAGAAGTTCCTTTCCTCATTTTGGGGCATATGCAGAAGATCCCGGTGCCAAGCTGGCAGGGAGGGCTCGGAGAGGCTCCGGAGGAAGTTTGCTCTTGCACTTCTGTCCTCAATTATTGTGTTTTGGAAGCGGCACAAACCCAGCCCTGAGCAAGCACTGGCATCCAGCTCCCCACGGGGCTTCCCTCCATCCCGAGACCTCTCCCGGTTCTCCCTGCAGACAAGGAGCAGGCGCTGGCTCAGGAAGTCCTGGGAGGGGTGGGATGGGGTGGATGAAGGATCTGGCAGCCCCAGGACTGGGGTGCAGGTACTGCCGTGGCCGGTGCCAGCCCAGCCCTGATCCCAGCCCAGATCCTGATCGCTGCTGAGCTGCGCCAGCCCCAGGGAATTCAGCACATTCCTAAATAATGGGTCTGGTGGTTTTGCAGGATCTGTAGCCCATACTAATGGCTCATTGCTGAACCATAAGTGGTTGTGTTATACTTTGGATTTATTGGAGGCCAAGGGATTAATTTCCTGAAATATATGGTCATGATGTTGAGGTTAAATTAAGATCTCATTCAAAAGGATTCTTTTTATTATATTTAATTTGTAACCCCTATTCTATAGCCATTTTACAGCTATTCCTCCCCCTCCCTTCAATGTTCAGTGTCATGTTTCCAGGAAGAATCTTATTTCATGCAGACTAAGAGCATTTTTCAGTATAACCTTTTACAGTTCCTCACCGTTTGAGTTCCTCCAGTCTCGGTTGTTTATCCACAACAAGGTCTTAAATCCTCTCTTAGAAAATAAAGATGTTGATGCAAAAGCAACAAGAGCTTCTGGCAGAGCTCAAATCCATCCGTTCTCTCCTCCTTCCCCACATGCCACCCCCTTCAATCTGCTGGAACTAAAAGCCCTTTTACTTCAGCGCTTGAGCACTTTGATAAAATGCATGTTGAGTAAATCTTACATGACATTTTTACTCTGGGTGAGATGTATATAAAGTCGAGCTGGCTCGGTGCTGGCCTCGCTTCGCCCTTCTCCGTGATGCCATTATTAAACTGATAAATTAACTGTGGAAATCGGTGCTGTGAGGTGCTGGAGGTGAGTCGGGAAGGGGACGAGGCAGCTGAGAATGACAAAGGTCCTGATGTTCAGCCTGGAGAAGGGAAGGCCCTGGGGACACCTCGGAGCCCCTTTGGGACCCTGAGGGGGCTCCAAGAGAGCTGGAGAGGGACTCTGGACAAGGGCCTTGGGTGTCAGGAGAAGGACCAACATCCCCACTGCGGGGACCCCCACACTGCCCCGGGCTCCTGCAGCACCGGCCTCCCCCTCTCCCCCTTCAGCACAGAATCCCCACCCCAGCCGTGCTCGGCAGCTCCTCACCCCCAGCTGGCAGCTCCGTCTTCTGCCGGGATTTTCTCTTTTTTTTTCCCCCCTCTTCCCCTCCCAGAAGTGCTGATGGACAAGTTGAGTAACCGTATCTGCTTGTTACAGGACATCTTGAGGCTGATTGCGGAGGTCAGGACTCAACTGGAAAGACCGCAGCGGGTTGCTGACTGGCATCCACGGTCCAGATAAGATAAAAACAACTGATGACAGCAGGGAAGTGAAACAGTCATCTCAGCACTTGGATTAGTGCCCGGCAAAGAGGAAGGGAAAAAAACCGAGTCGGGCCGGTGGGGAGGGGAAGGGGGTGGAATATGGATTAGAATAGAAACTCTGGAAAAAGCTATCAGGAGGCAGCAGATTTGGGTGTTAAATATTTATGAATTAGCGGCACTTGTCGGGTTCTCTGCGAGCCGAGAGTTTCCAGGCTGGGAGGGTGCGTGGATGCAATCCCTCCGTGCCCTGGCAAATAGCGGTGTGGTGGGAAAAGCAAAGGGATGGAGCGGCGGGAGCGGGGCCGGGGAGCGGCTCCGGCGGGTCTGGCGGTGCCGAGGCTCGCGGCAGCGAGGGATAAATCCAGACGGAGAGGAGAGAGGATAAATGAGGTGCCATAAAAGTGACTATTATTACTCAGAAATTTTCTACTGAAGAGCATTGGAGTAATTAAATCATAATTGCTTATTACTCAGCTGAAGTGACATTGTAAGTGGCTGAAGGTCTGTGACGAGGGGAGGAAGGGGGGGCTCGGCTGCTCTGGATCCCACAGCAGCCCAGCAGGGACCCTGGGCCTCGGGGAGGGTCCAAAGGCCCCCCTGAGCCTGGAAAGCTCATTTCCAGTGTGGCACCGGGACAGAGCACCCGTGGGTGCTGCAGGATGGGGGGCCGGGAGCAGCTTCACCTCCCGGTGTGAGAGGTGCCCGAGCCGGCCCAGGTTGGCCGGGTATCCCTGGAGTATGGCCAGGTATTCCTGGGGGTGAGGATTCCTCTGGGTGACCTGCTAAACCCTGAGAGCTTTAATGGAGCTGTTTCCCACCACGAAACCAAGAGCCTGCAAATCCTGTAAGCACTTAATTACAGAGCCGTGTTTGTGGAACATTGTAAAGGGCTCAGGTAACTTGGCAGCAGAGATGTGGAGTCAGGGATGGGAAGTGGGAGCATTCCGGGGCCACACTAGGGTGAGCATTCCCTTCCCCAGGGAGGCTGGGGGGATAAACTGCATTTTCAGCTTTAGGTAACATATCCTGAATGTTTGTTTTTGTTTCCTCATGTTTGTTTCAGAGTCGCTCTGTGTTTCACATCCTGAAATACTCTGAAACGAGTCCACCCGGCACTTAAATACATCTGAGCATCCCTTACTGATTTATTTCTCACCCCTTTTTGCTTTCCCCCTCCCCTCCTTGCCCTCCTTTGTGCTGCCCATGGGTAGGGAGGGCTGCTGTGCCCTGCCATCCACCCCCTCCCACAGGAACATCCCAGCTGGGAGTGCAGGACCAAACCTTGGCCACATCCCCCACCCCATGCTGTGACACTCATGGCTCCACTCACATCCCGGGGGAACTTTCCTGATGGGAAAGGAGAAGAGGAGAAGGGCCCATTGCTGTTTCTGCTTGGCTTTATTCTGCTCCAGTTCCAGCTGGCAGAACAAGGTTCAGCACTGAGAATCGGGCAGGTTTGGTGGGAAAAATGCTGGAAAGGATGGAGAAGAGCATCTCTTCTGTGGCAGTCTCGAGGATAACCCCATGCTCCCAGGAAGTGTTGTCCTCCAGTACTCTGTGGGGCAGAGGAGCTGCTGACATTTCCACCAGGAGTATTTATTTTGATTTTCAAAATAGCTGTAAAATGAGTCACCTGGCAGAGCAGCAGAGCCCACCTCGAGGAGAGCAGGGAGCTGCCAGGGAGCTGCTGCCAGCAAAGCACTCGTGCTTCAGACAGCTCTTGTTTTGGGGCTCTCTGGAGCCAGCTGGGAAGGGATTCTGCTGCTCGTGCCAGCACTGACCCCTCCTCTGGTGCCAGCACTGACCCCTCCATCAGGCCACGCTGCCAGCCCCACTCTCCTCTGATTCCACAGGGCTGATGCAGAGCACAAAAGCCCATGGCTACCCTGGCCCCACTCTGGGGACAGCCCAGGTGGGAAACACCGAGGAACTCGTGCTCCTACAAAAAGAAATACAAATTATTTTCTATTTCCAGCAGTGTCATCCCTGGATGAGAATCATCACTGGGGTCTTTGCATCTGGTGTGCATCTCAAAGCTTCCTCCCATTCCCTTGTTCCTGGGAGCATGCATTTCCTGCAGGGAACAGAGGCAAGGGGCATGACTGGGGCACTGCATCCCTGGAGGGGTGACAAGGTGACTGGGTACCCTCTGGTCCGTGTGAGTGTCCCTCTGTCTGACTGGGTGTCCCTCTGTCCATCTGAGTGCCCTGTCTGGCTGTGTGCTCTCTGTCCACCTGGGTGTCCCTGTGTCCACCTGGGTGTCCCTGTGTCCCTCTGGGTGCCCCTGTGTCCATCTGGGTGCCCCTGTGTCCATCTGGGTGTCCCTGTGTCCACCTGGGTGTCCCTGTGTCCCTCTTGGTGCCCCTGTGTCCCTCTGGGTGCCCCTGTGTCCATCTGGGTGCCCCGTGTCCACACCAACCTTTTCCCAGGCTCCCGCAGCCCTGGCAGGGGTTAAGGAGCCGAGGGAGAGGGAGCAGGGCTCTGGTGATGCAGACAATCCAACTTCCCCTGAAGTTTGGGAGCCCCTGGCACAGGCCCATCCGTGTACTTAAGCAGAAAACCACCAGAAAAGTGCTATAATCTGACAGATTTTTCACAGGCTTAAATATTCATGAATTAGAAGAATTGGCAGAATTTTCTACATTATTAGCTTTCATCATGGCTACAGGAGCAGTTGGTGCACTGGCTGCTCTTCAAAAACTATTAATCTAGTCTGTCATCACAGCAGCCATTTTTTAATTAGCTACTTTACTGAACGATCTGGTGCAGGAGGGAGACTGGAACATTTAAATGGTATTAAAGTTTTAAAGGTGCCCCTTTCCATTTTTAATCTGGGTTCTGGAACGCTGCAGTAGGGAACCAAACGGCTTCACTGCAATGGTTAACTCCTCGGGTTAGCTTGGAAAAAAGCGACTCTTGGAAAACTGAGCTGCAGGAGAAGAAATTGCGAGGAATAAATTGTTCCTGAGCCTGTTTGCAGCATTCCTGCCCGATGAAATCAAGGGAGATGTTTGTAGCTGAAGCACTGAGCGTGTGTTGGAGAGGCAGTGACAGAATGTGGCCTCGGTGCCTCCTGCTGGGGTGGGTTTTTGGTCCCAGGGTAGGGCAGCACACTCCTGGAAATCCTCCTCCTGCCACATCCGACCCATTCCCACATCCCTGTGTGGCTCCACAACCTGCTGGGAGCATCCTCTGCACGGGGAGCCCCAGTGTCCCATCAGCTCCTACCACAACACTGATTCCAGCCCTTTCTGGGGCTGGAGCTGTGGAACATTTTGCAGGATGTGACCCAGAACTTGGACAGGTTGGAAGTAACTCCTTCCTAAAAAACCAGGGGCCTGTGGTGAGGTGTGCTGATCCTGCATCCATACAGACTGCTTCCACATCCATGCAGACTGCTTCCACATCCATACAGACTGCTCCAGCATCCATACAGACTGTTTCCACATCCACATGGGCTGGTCCCATATCCATACAGGCTGCTCCTGCATCCACCCAGACTGCTCCTGCATCCATGTGGATCCATGTGTGCTGCTCCTGCTCCTGTGGCAGCTGCTCCCCCATCCATGTGCTGCTCCCCTGTCCCTTCAGGCTGCCATGGCAGCTCACCTCCTGCCCCAGCTGTGTGCTCTGGGAGCTCCCTGCTCCCTTCCCCAGGAATTGGGGCTGTCCTGCACTGTCTGTGTCCAATCTCCCTGTGCCCCGTGGGCTCCCTGCCCTTGGCAGGTGCCTGAGCTGCATTTACAACCAGCCTTTTATTCTTCATTCATTGGCCTCTGAATCCCTGCACAGGCCAGTTTTGGCAAACAGGCTCCAGAGGCGGGATGCCTTCTGAATGTCCAGCTGGAAACATCTCCTGACTCACGAGGTGTCCAGCTCTGGGATTCAGCAAGAGGCCTGGAGGATGGGACAGCCCCCTGTTCCCAGCCCAGGTGCTGAGGGGATTGGGGAGCAGGGAGCTGAGGTGCTCCCTGCCCTGGAGGTGGACATGGATCCAGGGTTGGATCCAGCGGAGCTCGATGCCATCCATGCTGTCCAGGCTTTCCTCTAAACTTTATCAACCCTTCCCTTGGCTTTGAGCCTGTTCTGCTCCCTGTGCCAGAGATGCTGCTCTCCTGCCTTATCATTTGCATGTGAAACACAGCAAAATTATGGCTTTATGGTGGTTTCAAATGTGCCTTTTTTGGCATCGGTGTCTCTGTCTCCGATGTCGCTGCTCCCGGCTGCCAGCACTTTGATTTGTGTATTGTAGTGCCAGTGTCCCGCTGACCCGGAGGGGAATTGCTGGCTGGGGGAGATTTTCCCCCAGTTGTCATGCAAAACATGTAAAGTAAAGAAACTGGCAGCCAGAACAGCTAAAATGCCAATGCTGCAGCAATAACCCTTCAAGAAGTTGTTCTTTGTAATTCAGTCTGGGAAGCAGAGGGTTGGGGTTTGGGGTTTCTTTGATCATGTGGAATAGGGAAAGTCTGAGCCTCGGGAGTCAGGTGGATTTTAATCCTTTTTTGGAAACGATTTTTTTATTAAAGTATAAATGTTTACATGAGTGAGGTGTTTTGGTAGTAAATGTGATCCCCTGTGCAGCTCCAGCTCTGCCCAGAGATCCTGATCCTCGGGAAAAGGGTGAAAAATCCGACTGTACTGCACAGCTTCAAGGGAGGAAGGATGGGGAAACATTCCCAGAAAAACTTTTATTTACAGTGAGTGACTTTTCTCAGAGTCTTCTTGCTTCGTTTGGCCTTGTGGGATTGTTTCTTCCATCGAGAATGGGAGCACCCTGGTCTAGAGGAAGGTGTGTCCCTGCTGGTGGCAGGGGGTGGAACGAGCTGAGCTTTCAGGTCTCCTCCCCGCCCAACCCCTTCCACGATTCCACGATAATGTGTGGATCTGAAACATCGACAGAAACTTCCTCACTGCTCAGCAGCCCCTCAGTCCAGCCTGGGAGCAGGGAGGGAGGTGGGGAAGGGGAGGAGTCGCAGTGTCACAGCTGCTCACTCTCACTCTGGTTAAAAATTATGTGGGTTTGTTGTGGGTTTTTTTTGTTGGTTTTTTTTTTTTTTAATTCTGCGTCATAATTTTTAATGTTTAGTCACTTAACCGAGGCACACACCCTTCTTGGCAATTATCTGTAGTTGTTCCCTCTGAGTTCTTGAACAAAACACTCTTTATTAGGACTCAAAGCATTCAAAGGCTTTGCAGAACTGATGGGATACTGCACCACATGCTAGCCCTTAATTACATTCCCCAGATAGGATAATTTATTAGAAGAACATACTCAGTAAGTTCTTTAAAATGTGGGGTTGGCCTGTGGTTTCTGGAGCGTAACACAGGGCTCTGCTTTACTGTTTACATTTGGGGGTAAAGATGAGGTTTTACATTGAAATTCAATTGAAATCTGAGCGAAATGAGGGGGTTTGTGGCAGAGCACCCCACTGAAATCTGTTCATCCTGCCGTGTGTGGGGTTTCAAGTGGTTGGAAGTAGCTGGGAAGGAGGAAAACGCTGCTGGAGTGTGTGAAAGTGATGGGGAATGGCGGGAGCGTGGGCTGGGGCTGGGGCTGGGGTTGGGCTGGGAGGCAGCTCTGCAGTCAGGCTGTGATTTACACAGCACAGTCCCTGTGCTCCAGAGCCCCTTGGAATGTGGTACTGCGTGACACCAGAGGGCTGAAAGGAAACTTGCACATCTATTAAAAAAAAAAGCACAAAAATCAGCTTTATTTTTCCATGTTTGAACAATGCAGCCATATGTGTTTCTTCTCATTAAACCCCTTTTTTCTGTGAGGAACTCCACCGCAGATCCGAGCGTGGAAGCCGACATAATTAAAGGCTTCTTTTTCCCCAGCCGTGGTGCTCTGGTCTTTGAAGAGCTCGGGGATCCCTGAGGAATGCTCTGAACTCGGCAATATTTTGATAGCTGCAATAACATAATCAAAAGATGCTTTCATGAAGGGAGCACCTTGTGTGGATTGCGGCCGCCCCTCTCCCCCCTCCCCGATCCCTCTTTAATGGGGTCCAGAGCTCGTGTGCAGATGGGGAGCTTGATTTTCTGCCTGGCCTTCTCCAGGGATGCTGCCTGAAGAGCTTTTGGGAGCGTTTTCCTGCGCCCCGTGGCCCCGGCCCTTCTGCCCGAGCCCCGGGGGGCTCAGCGGGTGCCCCAGCCCGGGGCGGGGGGTGACACGGAGGGCGGGGGCTGCAGCCCACCCGCCCCAGCCCGGGCTCTGCCGCCTCCAAATCACTGCACACAGCAGTTCTCTGCTGCTTGAGAGCCCGCCAGGTTGTTATTCATCCTGAAATCCTCATTAAAACCCTTTAATGTCTCCCTTTTCGTTCGCTAACCGGCTCAGCTGTGGCCATGAATCCTCCCGTCTGTGCCCGAGCCATTGAAAGCCCGTTTTGTTCCGTGCTGTCTCCCAGGCTGAGCCCCATGCGTGTCCGCTCCACCTGAGCTTTGGCAGGCAGGGCTGTTTGGAACGAGGAAATTGGGGCATTTCTTTAATCATTAAGCTGGAATCATTAAGCTTTAATCAGGCCAAATTAGGGTTTTGAATCCCGCTGCCTCGCATCAGCCTCTGATTGTAGGAGCTCAGCCACTCCTGAGGCAAAGCTGTCCCGGGGCTCTGTCCTGCCTGGGCAGGGAGCAGTGGGAACGGTGCCACCGGTGTCCCCAACAGCAGGGCCCTGTGGCTCTGGTGACAGAGATGTTTGGAGCCTTCTTGCTGCTGCAAGGACCCCACTGTGCTGGGGGTTCCTGGGGCTGCTCCGTGGGGATCCTGCCTGCTCACAACACCCCCAGAGAATCCCGTGGCCCTGTAGCTCCATCCGAACAGCCCTGTTACCTTTCCTCCCACCCTGAGGGGGCCGAGAGGTTGGGTCTCTCCCTGCAGAAGCTGATCCTGCTCTTTCCCTTCCCCTCACTCCATCTCTGCTCATCCCCAGGCCTGGCACGGGGCAGAGGGGGTGGTGATGCATGGTGGCATCTCTGCCAGTCATCTCCGCTCCAACTGGTTCATCACCTCTTGTCTCCCATAAAAGCAGCTATTCACCATATAATGTGAATGAATTCTCATTAAATCCTGCTAAATTACTCCGAGACAAAGCGAGGCGCCAGCGCAGGGGCTGCTTTGCCAATCCTTCACGGCATGTTTAATTTACCGCAGAGCCCTTCCAGGCCTTCCACGCTCAGGAGGGAGCTCCTCTGCCCTGGCAGGAGCAGGGAGGGGAATGGCAGCCCCTTCCTGCCCACAGCACCCCAGAGCTGCACCCTGGGGGCTCAGCTGGGAGGGAGCTGGGAGCGGGGATCCCGAACTTTGGGATGAAAGCAGCCGGGAACATTCTGTCTGTGCTGCACCGACCGGTGTCACACCGTCCAGGCAATAAGGGAGCCACGTGGGGCTGCTGCAGTAAAAGAGCAGAATTCACATTGCTGATAAAATCTCACAGAATTCACCCTTATTTCTAACGCCCGTGTTTCCTCATGTGTTCTGAGCTTCCCAGAGCTCAGCTGGCTGTGCTCACTCTCCTCCCACTCACACCTTTACACCGGGACAACACGAGGCAGAGGAGGACGGGTCGGTTTTGCCCCAGTAACGGTTCCCCAGAGCAGCTGATACAGCTGGGGAAGAAAATGTGGGGGGGTTGTAACTGGCAGGTGCTTCCCCCAAACCATCTGAATCTCAGTTTATCCAGAATCTGGGGTTCTTCTGCAGCCAGTGCCCAAGAGGTGAAGCTTTGGGGACAACACCTGCAGCTCAGTCCTGAACTCGTGATGGCCAAAGGCTTCTGGTGGTGGTGCAGGTGATGAATCCCAGGATGGTTTGGGCTGGAAAGGACCTTAAAGCTCATCCAGTCCCACCCCCTTCCATGGGCAGGGACACCTTCCACTAGCCCAGGTTGCTCCAAGCCCCGTCCAACCTGGGCACAACTTCTCTGGGTAACCTGTGCCAGGGCCTCCCCACCCTCCCAGCCAGGAATTCCTTCCCAATATCCCATCTCTCCCTGCCCTCTGGCAGTGGGAAGCCATTCCCTGTGTCCTGTCCCTCCAGCCCTTGTCCCCAGTCCCTCTCCAGCTCTCCTGGAGCCCCTTTAGGCCCTGGAAGGGGCTCTCAAGTCTCTCCTCTTCTCCAGGTGAACCCCCCCAGCTCTCCCAGCCTGGCTCTAGAGCAGGGGGGATCCAGCTCTTGGAGCATCTTTAGGGCCTACTCTGGACCTGCTCCAGCAGCTCCACATCCTCCTGGTATTTGGGCTCCCAGATCTGGTTGCAGCACTGCGGGTCCCATCTTTGTGTGAGGATTTTCCCCCCACGAGGTTTGGGATTGGTACCCACGGGAATGCCCTGCCAGCAGTGCTGCATCCCCAGCCTAAATCCCCACAGGGAGAATCCACATGGCCAAAGGTGCCCACACTGAGCACAGGGAACAACCACAGCCCCTTTTGTCCCCATCCCGACTCAGCCACCCGGGTCTGGTGGATTCTCATGGGTCCCTTGGCATCGGGCCATGGCACAGCCCCGCCGGGTTTGTGCTCCAGCCTCTGCCTCCAAACCCTCGGCGCTTCTGGGGTTGTTTCTCCCGTTATCATTTTTCCCACAACGCGCTCGCATGATCCCCTCTCAGCCTTAACCACATGGCAACCACATCACATAATGCAACTTCTGTTCTGAGATTATTCATATTTTTTCCCCCCCCTTCCCTATTGTTGCTTTGCCAAGTTTTTCTTCTGATTCCGAGGAGCCGAATGAAAAGAGCAGCGTCTCCGGTGCAAGGACACGCTTCGGAGGCAGCGCGAGCAAATCAACTCGACAAGTGTGTTCACAGGAGTCAAAACGGGGAGGGGGGGAGCTGTGAAAAAGCAAAACAAAAGCCCCTCCAAATGTCTATTTTTGTTTTATTTTGTTTTCCTGGAATGTCTTCTCACATGCAATGACAATGCGTCCCCAGGAGCCGCAGGCGGGCTCCGGTGAAAGGGCAGCCGGGGGAAGGGTCGCTTTAGGGGAAGGGTTCTGGGTGTGACCTGTCTGTTGTTCAGCCCATTCCCAGAAGAACGGGATAAACAGCACAGAAGGGGCTGTTCCCTCTGAGGTCTGGGAAGGGAGTAGGGTCACTCTGCCTGTGTGCCCTGTGGACACAGGGATACTGTGTGGAAAAAGTGCCACTCCGGCTCCAACGTCCTGGCCTTGTATCCTCCGTGGAGTTGCCACCATGGCCCTTGTTGGCCATCGGTGATGGCGGCGGAGAGGGACCATCATCCCTGAAACATCTTCAGACCCTTTTTATTCCCATTTCTTTTGGTTTACAGCTGCTGGAATATCGTTTTGTTTTGGACCAAGAATTTCCACTTTACATCTTTTTCCTTCCAAGCCCACCCTACCTTCATTTTCCCTTCATTTCTGCATCTTTTAATTCTCGACTCGTCAGCCACACTGGCCAGTTTAGCATAAGAAATGAAATTAATTCTCATGCTCAGGCTCCAAATGTAAATTCCTTTATTAATAATTTAAATGGATTTATTTATGCAGTTTGATATTTTTCAGGTTCAGGGAAGCAATTCAAGCTTTCTCGCGTTGATGATCAACAGACACCGTCATTAAGCTCTTTTCCCCCCCCTCCTCATCCTCTCCTCCATCTTCTCCTGCTAAACAGATAAAAGATCGGAGCCCGCTGGTCTCGGCGGGTTCCCAGGGAAGATTTACATGAACTAATGTAAGTAAATAATTAATTTGACTTTATCTTCCATCTCCTTTGGACATTCCCTCCCCAGAAAAGGGATGGATTTTCCTTCCAGATATTTCCAGCACCCGACACACCAAGAGCTTCTGCCAGACACCTCGAGCCTCCGAGGAAAGCAGCAGCATCCATGGATCACCCCGGAGAGGCTGCAGGATCATGATGTGTTCGTGGCAGCCAGAACACTCCACTCCAGATCAGGATAAACAGGGATGTGGTGGGATATCTTTAGCAAGAATCACGTGTATTTACTCAGAATTAGACATCTCCAAACCCAGCCCCCTCCACCTGGACCCCCCCAGCCCGGGTCACCCTCAGGACAGCTTTTGGCACCTGGATTTCCTGTGCCTAATGGGTCCACCCAGCCCTCGGAGCGGGGATACCACAAAACCCTGGGAATGCTGGAAATTTCGATCCCTTTCCTTGTGGTTTGGACCCCTCGGAGATGAACTGAACTTTTGGTCAGTCTGGATTTGCTTTTCTTCCCCCGTGAGATGAAGCCCCTCTGCCGAGCCCGGCCCACGCAACACCACAGATCAGAAACAACAGTTTTGTGCCCCAAACCATTGAGCCAACCCCATGGCATCGACACACGGCCTCAGAGGCGGGAGGAACTCTTGCATTTTGCTCGCTGAAGCACGGGGGATGTGCTGGAGGTTTCCCTTTCATCCCGTGCTTGTCAGAGCCATAAAGATCCGAGCTCTGCCGTACCACGACACCGGCAAAGCGCCGGCTCGGCCGCTTCCCACCCACCCCCCTCCTGCTCACTTTGGAGAAGCTTTAACATTTCTCTTTTATCTCGCTCCTGTGAGCTTCAAAGAGGCCGTGGAGCCAAGTCCTACCTTCCTGCAGATGGGGATTAACCAGCCCGTGCTTCCCGTGCTCGTCCTGCAGAACTGGAATTGATTTATCTGGGGTTCAGCAGCCACTGCACAGCAGCTCCTGCGCGGGTGCAAAACCAGGAGTCTCTGAGGCTTTTCGGCATCCTTGGCTCAAAGGCTGACACCACCATCCTTGGCTCTGGAGTGCAGAAGGTTATGCAAATCCAAGCCCTCTTCCCTGTTTGCCTGCACGGCCTGTTCCTGCAGGTGGGAAGTTCTGTTGGAAAACTCCTGAAAATCTCCCCACACCGGCCCGTTTTTTGGATCACAAGCCTGACCTGTCAGTTAACAGCATCGACTCCCAACACCATCCCTGGAACAGCAGCAAAGTGCTGGAGCATCTATTAAATTTATTTTAAACCAAGCAGATTAGGGCACGTTGGGGCTGTTGGGGCTCCAGTGCTGCAGGATGCACGGCTGGGCTTCCCCAGGTTATTCTGGGCTCTGCGTGCCACTTTGAAGCCAGTGCCTAAAGGGGATCCAGGAGAGCTGGAGAGGGACCTTGGACAAGGGCCTGGAGGGACAGGAGAAGGGGGAATGGCTTCCCACTGCCAGAGGGCAGGGTTAGATGGGATACTGGGAGGGAATTGTTCCCTGTGAGGGTGGTGAGGCCCTGGCACAGGTTGCCCAGAGAAGCTGTGGCTGCCCCTGGATCCCTGGAAGTGTCCAAGGCCAGGTTGGACAGGGCTTGGAGTAACCTGGGCTGGTAGAAGGTGTCCCTGCCTGTGGCAGGATGGTTGGAACAGGATGAGCTTTAAGGTCCTTTCCAACCCAAACCGTTCTGGGGTTCTGTGAAGAAGATTTGAGGGTTTTCTGCCTCCCTGGAAAAGCAGGATGTTGCTCCGATGCTGCTGCAGGTGGCTGGGAGGGGTCCTTGTAGGAAGGAGCCAGCACATGTCCTGTCCCAGGTGGAAGGTCCTGTGGGTGCATCCCAGCCCGTGTCACCCCCATTCCCTGTCACCAAACCTCCCTGTCACCAAACCTCCCTGAGCATCTCTGCAGGACCAGTTTGTTCTTTGCATAATTCCAATTATGTTTGATGATTAATTGCCCAACTGCAGGATCTCACACAATGGACCGAATTGATTGAAAACATGGTAATTCACGGGGGAAATGATTTTAAATGTGATTTTTGCAGCAGATAAAGCTGCCTGTAAAGGATTACATGTGCTACTGGGATGGAAACCACCCTGGGTATGCAGATTGTGTTCCCAGCCAGGCTCTGGGCTGTGATTCAGACACTTCCATGCTTACCTGCTCCATTTGGCTCTTGCTGGGATCCTTTCCTGAGGCATCATGGCCTTTGCAGGTTGATTTTCACTTTTTCCAGGGGAAAAAAAAAAATAATTTATGGTTTTAAAGCAAATTATTCTCATGGAAAGTTGATTCTCACAGGTATTTCTCTGGTTTGTTCTGTTTCTGTGGAAAAGGATGGACACTGCTGTGCTGGTCTGAGCCATCCCAATTGGACTTATCCCAAAAAAAAGCTGCCACTGGGATATTTTTATGAGAGAAAACAAAAAGTTGGCTTTCATGGAATCACAGAATGGTTTGGGTTGGGGGGGGACCTTAAAGACCATCTCATTCCATCCCCTGCCATGGGCAGGGATTTTTTTAAAAGGATCTGAATGATTTCTGGGGTTGGAACAGCAAAAGCTGATAAAGCTTTCAGCAATATTTCTTATTTTTAGTGGGTTTTTTGGAGGAAATCAAGGCAGGAACCCCTGGAGGAGAGGGCTGAGGGGAGCCCCGGTGTGCTGGCAGTGGGGCCATGGGGTGCCAGGGACCCCCTTCTATCGGGCACAGTATTTTAGAAAAGCCCTTCCCTAATTTATTGGTTTTTCTCCCTGGCAGGTGCAGGAATGGAGGGCAGTGCCTGCAGCCCGGCTTCCCGGGAAGGCAGCGAAGGACATTGATTTATGATCAAAAGGGAAAAAAGAGAAGCAGAATAAAAAGAATACTTAAGACTTAAAAACAGGGAAATCTCGTTTCTTCCTGTGTAGGTGTTACCTGGGAATCTTTCATGTTAAACTTAAATGGAATTAAGAATGAGGGGGGAAATCACGCTGGGAGTTGCGTGATCCTCGTAGCCCTCTATTAAAATTAATCCTGGCATTGATCTGTACAGTTTATTAATGGCCCGGCACGGGGAGAGGAGCCGCTGCCATAAACATCCCGGCCCTCCCGGAGCATCCCGGCCCGGCGCCGTCCTCAGCTCCGCACCCGGCATCCCAGAACGGCTCGGAGCCCTCCCGGCCACACCCCCAGCACCAATTAACCACCGTCCTCCCTGACCTGCCGGGGACGGGGGACCGCCACTAAAGGCTCGAGACGAAAAAACCAAGAGCAAAGACCTAAATCTTTTTGGCTGCCTGATTAATAATCCTGTCAGGCCTATCACAGGCACTAAACAGTAATGCTGGTTGCAGCTGAATTTTTTATACTTTCTATTAATCTTTAATGATAGCTTGGTCACCTAGTCTCTTTTATCTTGTCAGATAAATGTATGGTTAACAGGATAATGAGATTTCTAAGGCTCTGTTCTAGCTTACAGCCATGCAGCACATGGGGTGACCCCTGCCCCTGCCGGGGAGCGTGTGGAGGTGATGGTAATTGCTGGATGTGCTGGGAATGTATTGGGAGCTGATGGATGGTTTAAACTTTGATTTGAGGTCAGGAGGTCCCTCGGCTCTGGAAGGCAACTGTGGTTTTATTACTTGCAGGATCTGATGGGGATGTAATTAGATTTAGCTATTGCTTTATTAATAAGTAATTGTTCCTACTATTGCTTTGGGTTAGCAAATATATTCCGCTGATAATTTAGGGCATTGATACGGCTTTATTTATTAATAAATGGGAATGTATATTTTTGCCTGTGGCAAAGACTAGCACAGAACTCGGGCTGGCCACTTCTCCTGGAGTGAAGGGTTCGCTCTTTATTAATTCAATAATTAACCTGATTCTGGGAGCTGGGCTCTGCCGTGGGGAGCCTTGAGTGTGCTGGCTGTGACAGCAGCAGCTCCCAAGCAGGACAGCCCCCAGGGCCTCGAGGGAGCCTGAGATGCCCGTGGGTGCTCAGCCCCTGGGCTCACGGAGCAAAAGCAGGGCCATCAGAGCCCTCTGGACCCCCTGCTCCTCCCACCTCCCTGCTGAGGGTGCTCTCCCCCCGCCCCCAAACCCCTCCTCGTCACCCCTGGGGTGCAGAGACACCACCCTGTCCCCTGCCCCACCCAGGGCACCCGCAGTGCCACCAGCCCTGGGGGATGCTGGTTCCTGCTGGGTCCCTCTGCCTTCCCCTTGGATGTGTTCTTTTATTTCCCAGAGGGCCCTGGGATAACGAGGTGCCTGTGGCAGTGCAGGGTGCCAGCTCCTTGCCCAGCTGGTTCCCAAGGGGTGGTGGGTGCTGGGCAGGGGCTGCTCCTGTCCCCACGTGCAGCCAGCACAGGGCACCCGTGTTTTGGTGGCTTTTTGTCACTTTGCTGCTCCGAGGAAGCTCCTTGCATTAATTATGTTGCCATGTAGAAAGCTCTGGCCTGTCATATACTTTTTTTCTTTTTCCTTTTTTTTTTTTTAAGCTCTGTTTTTCATAAAGTGGTCCTAAAATGACACGGAAAGCAGCTGCTTAAGCAATTGTGCCAATTAATGGGTCTCTGAAATTAAAACGCCTACACAGTCTAGATGAGATTTCTCCGGGAGGGAATTCAGCAATTGTCTTCATGATAATCAGGCTTGACTTGTCTTAGCACACATTAATAAAAAAGCAAATGCATTCAAAGAGATGCCCTTTAGTGGAGAATATCCACAATATAGTAATGAGTCTCCAAAAAAAAAAGGAGGGGGGAGAGAGGAGGGATGCTGAGCTGGCTCCAGCCTTTCCTTGAGGAAGGGAGACTTGGAATTCATGTCATGGACTCGCTGGATTCTCCTGCTGCAGCTGCTGGATGTAAATCTGCACTATGCTGAAGCAGAGCCGAGGCAGTGGCTCCACGGGAGGGTCCAGGGGGGGTTTGGACAGAAGGTGGGAGCACAGGGGGCTTTGGGCTCCTGGGCAAGGCTCCTGTCAGCACCCTGGGCACAGCCTGGCAGCCCCTGGATCTCAGTCCAGCCGCCTGTGCCAGCACCTTCTGGAGCAGGACCCTGCAGAGGGTCCATCTCTAGAAGCATGAGTGGCCTCAGGTTGCACCGGGGGAGGTTCAGGTTGGATATCAAGGAATATTTCTTCATGGAAAGGGTTGTCCAGCCCTGGCACAGCTGCCCAGGGCAGTGGGGGAGTCCCCATCCCTGGAGGGATTTAACATCCGTGTGGATGTGGCACTTGGGGATGTGGGTTAGGGGTGGCCTTGGTAGTGCTGGGGGAACTTGGATTCCATCTCAGAGGGCTTTTCCAAGCCAAACAATTCTGTGATCCCGTGATTCCCTGACCCCAGCAGAAGGGATGCTCTCCTCCATCTCATGAGGCCAAAGGGCTGGGAGGTGAAGCTGTTTATGCCCTTAACTGCAGGTGTGGCCCAGAGGGAGGGATCTGCTCTGGCCCTGTAACACCAGGAATTCCCTGCATCCCTCCCCATTATCCTATTTTTGGAAACAGAGACGTCCACTGGTGTTAAGTGGCCACTCCACGTCCCCCAACATTTACAAGGTTTAGGAGCATCAGTTAAACCCCTTGGCTTTATCCCACGGTGCTGGCTGGGGTTGTTTTGTCCAAGAGCATCATCCCACTGCCAAGGAACACATGGACGGTCTGGACACCCGCACTGGGACACCCTGTTCCAGCAGGGACAGCCTCTGGGTGACCCCACGGGTGCTGTGGCCGTGTGTGCACAGGACATCCGTGTTCACACCTGCAGGCACACGTGTGCTGCAGCCCCAGGAACACGCAGCTCTCCCTGTGTTTGGCACCTCGTTTCCTTCCCCTCCTAATTACCCGCTCCGGCGGCTCTGTTTGTGTTTGTTGGCGGCTGCAGCCTCCTGACAGTTTGTCTGGAAAAGTCTTTTCTCTTTTCTCCCCCCTTGTTATTTTCATTTCAAAAAATTTAGGAGGCTTTAAAAACAAAAGTATTTAGAGCAAACACGATCTTTCTGTATGCAAAATTGATGAAAGAAAAAGACTTACAGCTCTAAACCCACCGCTGCTGCTCAGAGGGGAACGCGAAGCCTTGGGTTCACGGAATCATAGGGTGGCTGGGGTGGGGAGGCACCTTAAACAACATCTATTCCCCATCAAATTAATTAAAGAGGGACCAGCACAAGTGGCTGTTGGGCCGGAACGTGCTCCTGGGTCCCTCTGGCCGTGCTCCAGCTGCCCCATCCCTCACCATCCTCGGGGATCATCCTGAGCTGCTCCAGCCCTCAGCCCAACTCTCCTGGGGTCCCCCAGCCCCCTGGGGCACCCAGGGTGGGCAGGAGCTGCCTGCTCAGCCCAGGGCGATGAGGAATCCTGCAAAACATTCCTTATTTTTTCTTTAATCCTCGCTAGTGTTTTGGATTTTCAGATCCACCCCGGTTTGAGCAAATATTTTGATTGCAACCAAGTGCGAACATAACAAACGCTGTTTAGACAAAAGCAACACATCCACTATTAGTTTT